TCCCCCTGCTCTGCACACGCTCTGCATCTATCTCTCTCTCTCTCTCTCTCTCTCTCTCTCATTCAGCTCAGCTCCAACAATGAACTGTTTCAATTATACACTTATTTTCACATAGCTATGAAAAGCGTTATACATGGACGCGCGTGCAGTTGCCGTACTGTATTAAAGCTTTAATCAGGATAAAACCGTATATTAAAAGCTAACATAAGCAGTAGCATTTACAAATAACAGCGTATCTAAAAGTATGAGACAACAAAAAACATAGGCCTACCATTAAAAGCCATGCTTGCACAGGTTCTTCAATAATATCCTCTGCTTCTCAATGGGGCTCAAACTGATAAGCGATATTAACGATGCCGTTGTTTACAATACAACCGGAGCACATGCCGCTGAGGTGAGGGGCGGGACGATTAGATGCGCACTAGAGGCGGTTTAGCCAATCACAACACACTGGGCTAGCTAACCAATCAGAGCCCATCGCCTTCATAAGGGGCTTCATAAAAGAAGGAAATGATCAGCGTGTTTCTCAGAGAAGGGACAGAGCGGTGTGGAATAAAGGTGAAAAATAATGAATTTTTAAAAAAACGAAGCATTAACACATGTTAGACTGCACCCCATAAACACAATCAAGCCTAGAAAAAATTCCCATCAGTTCCAGTTCTTGGAACATCTGATGTCTTTCCCTTTCATATGCTATACACATTAAAAGAACATGCTCAACCGTTTCTGGTAGTCCACATTTATCACAATTGCCTGTTTCATGTTTCCCTATTATGTGCAAACTGTTATTTAATGCTACATGTCCTATTAAGCAAAGTTTCCTTACTTTAGCAAAGGAAAACCAGTTTCTTCTTGGCTTATATTGAAATCCTCCTACATTTTTCTTTACAAATCCTCATTTTGTGCTTCTAATTCGTGACCGGCGTTTTGTTTTGCTGTCTCTCCTCTGCGCTTCTGCGTTCGTCACTAATCACCGGCACGAGCGCTGCGCATATGTCCTACGTCATCCGCTGGAACGGCTTCCGCCTACGACAGTCAGCAGAAGTGAGAAAAAATTGTATAGAAAGGTTTAAATATGGCTATTTTTCTTACAAAAATGCATCGATTCGCTACAGGAGGCCTTTATTCACCCCCCGGAGCCGTGTGAGGCACGTTTTATCATGGATGCACGCGCTTAATAAAACAAATTGATTAAAAAACAGTATCTAGATTATACTAAAATAACACTGGAAAAGTTTAGCTAGTATTTTTTATGTAATTTTCCATTATTGTCCCCTTCAAAAACTAGCATTGTTGTCATACACAACTACAAAATATTTCAAATTTTTTAATCGGTGTTTCTGGTTTTATAGCTAGTGCATATTATAAATTATGTTTTATAGTGTTTAATTAAAATATAGCAAGTTGAACAACTTTTCCTGTCTGCTGATGTAATGTAGGCCGTGTAGGTGGGGACAAATGCTAGTAGCCAGTAGTCTTTCTTACCACTGCATTTCTGATATTCCTCACTCTTGTCTTCCTCTCTTTCTTCCTCTGTATATTTCTGCTGGCTGTCTCTGTCTCCACCATTTCTGGTGCCCTCTGCTGTCTGGCTTTTGTAAAACCAGCCTCCAGAAGACAAAAGCTGGGTATATTCTCCTCTGCACTTCAGCTCAGGGCCTAAAACCCTGCCAGAGGATGAAGGGGAGAGTGAAACAGTAAGTGCGCGTTTTACTGTAGGCGTCTTGGGTTCGCGATGCTTGACGTTGACGATCCATTGTCTATTATTCCTTGCATATTAATCGCATAAAAATTCAATGTGTCCCAACAGTAATCAGACCTCAGGAAAGAGGGGCAGCTACAAAGGTTCGGACTCTTCAGATGTCCGGAAGCTGTACTGGTCGGACTTTTCGCAACTTAAGCATCATTTTCATCGTCCTTTCACCCATTCCATAAACAACACCAAGCAAGTAGTAATACCAATGTCCAGACTTATTTATGAGTAATAATGAAAATATTTATGTTTAATTATTTTTTGATTGTTTTGTGTTTCATTTATTGTCTAATTTACATACTGTGAACGTATTTTCCGATTTGAGCTCTGGGACTCAAGACTTTTCCCAAGAGTGGGTTGTAGGTTATTATTTAAAAAAAAAATTTTTTAGGGGATTCTTTTTAGTTGTTAATGCGCCTTGGTTATCAGGTAGCATTGTTTGTTTCGTAACTTTTGAAAAATTTAAGTTCTGTCGCAGACCTTAGATATACCCAAACATGGTTTGCTTTATTTTTATTGGTTCTTCAAAAATATATTAAGCCAGCAATAGTGTTCAGTGTTTCAGAGTTATGAATTTCCAAGAAGTGGCTGTTTGATGTGTGAAATTTGGCAATAACCAAAGTCTCAAAATGTTCTCTTTTTTAATTTAATTTTAATGTAAAAATTAGGACTGATAACGGATGCTGGATGTTATAGAAAATGACATTTTCCGCATCACCTGATCTTTATATTCTTGTTTTGGCTTATTTTTATACATTCTGGTCATTTCAATTTGTTCCACAGATTTTCCCGCCAAAATCCAGTACAAAGTCATCAGGGCCTGGTTATTAAGACATGTTAAACTGAAAGATGGGACCAAACTTATGTGGGAGGCCAAATATGTAAAACAACTTGTTACCATAATCGCAATCAGAAATATTTAAGTTAAAACATTAATTTGTAAATCCACATGTATAGAATTTGTGTGTGTGCCTATGCATTGAGCGTGTTTGTGGTTTTGAGTAACCGAGTGTCTCATTTTACAATGGAAGTGTGCAACACTGATTCTTATAATGTGCAGTGGCCAGCTGTTATTGATATTGCTGTTGTATCCAAAATAAAAGGACTACTGCAGCAATACATATGTAAAGTGTAGCACACACATATTTTGGTTGCCTTAATTAGTTTTTGCCAACCTAATCCTATTGTAGTTATAAACTACCGTATTCACTGATTCAGTCTTTCTGGTTCACCAATGATAGTGTCTTAGAGAATTTGTATATAGCTCTTTAAATACATATAAAATCTATTTTAAATGTTATTTGAAGTTTTCTTTTGTATTTCATTTTTCACAAGTGGCTTGTGAAAGGTGTCCTATAGGTCCACACAAACCCAACCATTCTTCCAGCGTCGAGGACGTTTTCTTGTGTTTGAGTCTGTTTCTTTGTATCATATGTGTACACTTTACAGTTGGGATTGTAAAGTCTGTACGGTCAAAGACAATACAACTGTATCAATCACTTACTCTGCCAACAGTTGAGCTGTTTGTGTGTGTACGCATGTATGTGTGTGTGGTCAAAAAGGTGTGTGCACCCCTAAATAGCAAAAGAGCATGATGAAATGTGAGTCTATTGACATTGATGTACAGCATATACATTTATCTCTTTGAAAAGACCACGACCAATGGACCGATGTGTGTACATTTGTTCAGATCCTTAAATAAATACAACTGGTGGACTTGATTCACAAGATTTTTGTTTTATTTTATTTTTTGTTCTTGTACCATTTTTTCCAAAAAAATCTCACAAATTCAACAGATATACATCACAAATTAAATGTAACCATGAGATTTGGTTTTGATGTTATAAAATTTGAAAACTACTTATTTTGAATTTGATGCTAGCAAACTATGCTTTATCACAGTAGCTGTTTTGTGCATGATTATACATTATTTCATAAACATCATGAAGTGAATTAAATGTTACCTTGTACTTGACAGGCTGCAGTGGCAAAACCTCTGGGACTTTTTGTTTTATCACTCCACTTGTCCGTGTTTGCACAGTCCAGTCTTCATATTAACAAGAACTATTACTAAGGTTTAACAAAAATTTTTTGTTCGATGAATTTCCGCAGACAAAGTCCAATAAATTTTAATAAGATTCCATGCAATTTCATACCAGGATGAAAAATTTCCCCAAGAAGATTTTGCAACAGGTTCAAGGTTAACAACTTTCATGGACCCAATTGGATTCAACAGAATAAAAATAAAAATGTTTTTTAAAAACACTACAAAACCAATTAAAACAGCAAACCTTAAAATTTAATGTCTCTCACACTACAAAATATTTTTTTTAAATCTAAATCTGTATTTACCTATAAAAAAAAAAGAAAGAAAACCCCTACAAAACAAAAACAGCTAAAAAGTAATAAACACTATAAAAATAAAACAGATTTAACATTCATTTTAATGGTTTGCTTTTTTTGCAGTTTGTTATATATATATATATATATATATATGCTTTATACTAGCAGCACCAAATTGCAGAGAGAATGCCCAACATGACTGAAACGCACCACACAACACCACTAAAAAAAAAGTACCATTCGGCACAAATACAATTATGTAACGGACAAATAATTTGGAAAGCATAGTGAGGGGATGGAAGGAATCAGTAGGCAAAGATGACGATTATGCATTTCTGTCGATCCTGACATCAATCTCTCGCCCGCTGAGCCGGTAGCCGTTCATGGTGCGACAGGCTCGCTCGGCGGTCTCAGGACTGTCAAAGCGCACCACACCGCAGCCCTTGGACTTGCCGTTCTCCATTTTTATGTCTGCATACTGCACAATGCCTGTTAGAAAATGCAAACAAGCCATATCGATTAACAAAACGGCACAAGAAATGCTAAAGTCGTCTGATGGGAAAGTGTCTTACCACATGAATTGAAAGTGTCCTTCAACATCTTCCAAGTGAAGTCAAAGGGCAGCTGCAAAAAAAGCCAAATTACTTTGTGAATGAGAGGGAAAAAAAATAAAAAATAAAAATACAGGAAGTTAAGATCAAATGCTTACATTTCTGACAAAAATCTGGCAGCCCTTCCTGGCATTGGCTCCACCAGCCCCTGGCCCTCCTTGTCCAGACCCACTGAAAGGAGTCCCGAAATTGCCACGATCCATATCAGCAGGTCTGTCAAACTGCCCACCAACGCCACCAGAGCCCATCCGGTCCATGCTGGAACCCATGCGGTCGAGACCTGAGGAGGGGAAGCGGTCCATGCCACCGGAGCCCATGCGGTCGAAGTTTGAACCCATTCGGTCGAGGCCCGTGTTCATCCGGTCTATGCCCATAGGAGAGGCAAAGTCCATTCCGCCGCTCATGCGATCCATGCCGGACGGGCCCAAGCGGTCGAACCCACCAGGACCCATGCGGTCCACGCTGGAGCTCATGCGGTCGAGGCCTGATCCCAGCCGATCCATACTGGGCCCCAGTCGGTCAAGCCCTGAACCCATTCGGTCGAAGCCAGATCCCAACCGGTCCAGATCAGACATGCGGTCCATGCGATCCATTCCCATTCGGTCCAGTCCTCCCATGCGGTCCATGCCACCGCCACCAAGCCGGTCCATGCCAGAGTTCATGCGATCCATTCCCATGGAGTTCCCTGGCAAATCAAATTATGGCAAAAACATTTAAAGGGGTCATATGACGCGATTTCAATTTTTCCTTTCTCTTTGGAGTGTTACAAGCTCTTGGTGCATAAATAAGATCTGTAAAGTTGCAAAGACTAAAGTCTCAAATCCAAAGAGATATTCTTTATAAAAGTTAAGGCTTGTCCACGCCCTCCTAAAACGCCTCGTTTAAACACGCCACCACATGTCTACGTCACTGTGTGGGAAGATTTGCATAACGCCACCCAAATATTCACACAAAGACAGAAGCGTAACTTTGATTCTCGCTGTAGTATTGTTGTTCCTGCCGCCGCCATGTTGTGGAGATGCTGTGTTTCATTGTGAAAGCGAAACTACTTTGTTTGGCCTTCCAAAAGAGGACGATATCCGCTTCGTCATGCCTAGAACTGATCCGTGCTGGTCGCTGAGGAAATACATCAACTTCGCACGGTGGATCCCCGGATCGGCTTTCACCGTGGACGAAGCGGAGTCCAGCCCAGGGTCGTCACATGTGGTTGCCGCAAGCCTCCTCCGTCGAACCCGCTGGGCACCGCTCACTCAAGCCGCTGTGTGTTTCGTTGTGAAAGCGAAACTACTTTGTTTGGCCTTCCAAAAGAAGACTGTTTCTATAAAGTGGGGCAGTTCCAACTTTGCAAGGACAGTCTGGCTTCTGACTCAGCCTGTAAGTACCGTTTTTTATATTTAAAGGATTTGCCACTGACGATTCAAACGCGAGTTTGAGCAGTGTAGAGTAGCGCTTGTTGTTGGTAATTTCTCCAATCACAAATGCAGACATGGTTTTATGTTAACGCGGCGCAATACGCATTAATAAAGCGTAAACACAATATAAGTCATTATAATCAGTAATTATGTCCCCACTGGATGCAACAAATGCCTCGTTTGTAATGGGTTTTATTGGTTTTGTCTCATCACGCCGGGACACATGGAAACACCGTATGGTAAGGGGCGTAACATTTCCGTCACACGCTTGAGGTATTCAGCCAATCACAACACACTGGATAGCTGGCCAATCAGAGCACACCTCGCTTTTCAGACCAATGAGCTTTGTAAAAATCGACGCATTTCAGAAAGGCGGGGCATAGAGGAGAAACAATAATGTACAGTATGTGGAAAATAATGTGTTTTTTGAACCTTAAACCGCATAAACATTGCATTAAACCAAATAATGTTCTTTTTAGCAATATCATATAACCCCTTTAAAAAGTTAACATTATGTAACCATCTAAGAAATGTATAGGAGCAAAGGTTAACGTTACTAACCCATTCCTCGGTCAAATGAGTCTCCAAAATTGCTACGGGACATACCCATGTCATTACGGCCACCGAAATCTCGATCAAAGCCGCCGCCGATTCCACGATCCATATCTGCAATTAAAAAAAATATATAAATAAAAACATTTCAAACCTAACTACTAGCAAAAACAAAACAAAACACCATTTACCATTCATTCTTCCCATTCCAGAAGTGCCGAAACGATCCATGTTGTTCATACCACCTCCAAAATTATCCATCCCTGAAGATCAATAACATTTGAATTAAATTCATATTGGGGAAAAGGAAGAGAGGAAAAAAAAACAAAAAAAAAAAACAGAAGATAATTCACCATTCAAAACAAAAAAAGCAATGTGATGAATAGTGTTACCTTGCAGGTTTAATTTTTTTAGTGGATGAAATCAGCAAAAGTTAAAAACAAATAAAGAAAATAATCAGCAATTTAAAAAAAAAAAAAAAAAAAAAAAAAAAAAACCACACACTTTAAAATAACTTGATTCCTATGTAAAAAATGCTAATTTATTTACATTAACATTTTAACATTAAAAGTAAAACCTTAACTCAATTAATAAGGGATAAAATTTAAAAAAGCCTTGAAGATAAATTGGTAGATAAAATAAGCAAAAAAATCTAATAAAATGGAAGAATTCATTAAAACTTAATTTTTGGTGGATAAAATAAGCAGGACAAAAGTAAAACATTTAATAGATAAAATAATCAGTAATTTATATAGTAAAAAAAAACAACAACACTAAGATAACTTTATTCCTAGTGTATAAAGTAGCATTTTTAATGTAAAAAATAAACCCTTGATAACTCAATCCATAAGGGATAAAATAAGCAGTATTTAAAAAATAAAACCTTGACGATAATTTAGATAAAATATGCAGCACTTTTAAAACTGACAATAAAACCTTGTAGATAGTTCATAGTAGATAAAAGAAGCAGCATCTTAGAAAATAATAATAAAACCTTCAACTAAATTTATAGTGCAGTGACAAAAAAAAAAATTAAGAATTCACTGTAATCACAGTACTACACAAATAACTTCACAATTCATAGTACACAAAATATGGAAAAAAACATAACATTGTGCTGCTTCAAAAATACACCAGTTTTATGGAGATCAGTGAGGTTTGGATAGTGCCCATTCAAATGAACTGAGCACCCTTGAACTACAGCATGAAAATCAAACCAGTAACACCTGCAGGTCCTTTCCAGATGGGATCAAAACAGGCCAAAATAAAAGAATGGCTGATGAGATGAACCACATACCTCCCATTCTACCCATGCCACCAAATCCCATTCCATCCATTCCTATGGAGAAAATGATTTCATGGAGAGGGGAGGGGGGTGATGTTCAGTGAGTGCATACAAGAGGAAACATTCCCAAAAAACCAACATGCAACACGCTTTTTCCTCCTGGTCCCATGTTGCCCATCCCACCCCGGTTGAGCTGGGTAGCGTCGATGGGTTGACCGCCGGGTCCCAGACCGAGACCGACACCACTCAGACCACCTGCATAAGACGGTGGAACTGGTTTAGAGAAGAAACTAGCCAACTGCAACAGTTTTATTGCTGATGGTCCATACAGCAAATGTTAATATGAAGTCATCACTTACGAGGAAGCGCTGGAGGACGGTCTGGGGGTGCAAAGTCACCTTTGGGAAGGGATTTCTCATCCTGAAAAGACAAATGACAGGTGTAAAGAAGTGAATTGAGGAGTTTACAAATCATATTGGCAACGTACCACTAAACTTCTGGAAGCCAGAAACAAGCTT